GATGCTCAACTGCTAAGCCACGCCGGCTGGGCCTTTTTGACAACCCTCTCTTGACAAAAACAGAAAACCCTAACAAATACCACAGTCTCAAAATTTCAAATCATCACAATAAAATCACGTTAAGAAGTGAATCACTGAAATGGCTGAAACAGGTATTTCCCCCTCAGAATGACAAAAGGCAAAACCCTTGTTTGAATACCTCGGGCTGACTTGTATTTTCTTAGGGAAACAGTAACAAGAGCAAATCTTCTAAGAGAAGATTCAAATTTCTTTTAGTAAGATCCTGGATTTTCCTTCTCTGAAGTAAAATTTAAATGACACAGGGACACTTCCTTGTCTAAACACTTAATCCTTTATAAATGTTTACCCCACTAAGTAAATAGTTAACAAGAAGAATAGAGAAATCCAAAACTCAAGAAAAATGTAATGAAGGTTTTGCCCCAACCAACCTTCACCGTTATCTTCTTATCGTTAAACATTTACTGAGCGACTACGTATTGGAGAGACAGGTTCTAGCAGCTTTGTCAACAAAAGGAAAGGAGGAGAAATAGCAGTAGACCCAGAGAAAGAAAAGATATGAGCAGCAGCCTGGAAAATTGTTAAGACACCAAAAACACACACAACAAAACTGTTAAAAAAATGGGTAAAAAGACTTAAATAGATACTTCCCCAAAGAGATATAAACGGTAAAAGAATATACAAAGATGCTCAATAAAAAAATGCAACGCAAAACCACAATAAAGAAATCACCTCACCCATCAGGATGACTATTAGCAAAACAAACAAACCGAAAACAGCAAATGTTGACATGGGTGTGGNCAATAAAGAAATCACCTCACCCATCAGGATGACTATTATTAGCAAAACAAACAAACCGAAAACAGCAAATGTTGACATGGGTGTGGAAAATGGAAACTCTTGTGCACTGCTGGTGGAAATGTAAAATGGTATAGCTGTTGTGGAAAACAGTATGTATGGTGGTTTCTCAAAAAAATCATAGAATCACCACATGATCTACAATTCCACCTCTAGGAATATACCTAAAAGAATTAAAAGGACACAAACAGATATTTATGCACCCACATTCATAGCATCATTATTCCAAAAATAGCCAAAAGTGGATCTAACCCAAATGTTCACCAATAGATGAATGGATAAACAAAATGTGGTATGCATATAAAATGGAATATTATTCAGCCTTAAAAAGAAATGAAATTCTGACACATGCCGTAACAATGTTCTTGAAGACATTATGCTAAGTGAAAAAAGCCAGACACAAAGGAAAAATATTGTATGATTCCACATATTGTATGATTCCACTTACATGAGGTATCTAGAATAGCCAAATTCTATATAGAGACAAAAGGTAGCATAGTGGTTACCAGGGGCCGCGGGAGGGGGTGTGTGAGTTATTGTTTAATGGTAACAGTTTCAGTTTGGGATGATAAAAAAAATTTCGGCAGTGCACAGTGAAAAACAACAATGTGAATATACCTAATTTCACTGAACCAAACACTTAAAAATGGTTAAAATGGTAAATTTTATGTACTTATATTTTACCACAATAAGGAACCACCAAACAAAAATAATCAGGACAGATAAGTTCATCACTTTCTTTGTCCCTTAGAGATGAAAACATCAATTTATATGGTTAAAAAAACAACAAAAACTAACAGAACAGACTGAATACATACTCCATCTATCTCCATTCCCTCCTGAAAGCTTGGCAAAATGAAATAAAGGGGGAAAAAAGCATAAACCACCCAGCTGGCGTGGCACAGCGGTTGAACATCAACCTATGATCCAGGAGATCGAGGTTTGATTGCCAGTCAGGGCACATGCCCAGGTTGTGGGCTGGATCCCCAGTGGAGGGCATGCAGGAGGCAGCCAATCAATGACTTTCTCATCGTTGACGTTTCTATCTCTCTCTCTCCCTCTCCTTTCCTCTCTCTGAAATCAATAAAGACATATTTTTTTTAAAAAGAAAAAGTATAAACCCTCAAGGGCAAAGACAAAGGGGGAGAAGATGACCATAGATAAATAAGTGTCAGCAACATTCTGGACAATGGAAAGCAGTAGTAGTTACATTCTGCAGTTACATTATCTAGTTCCTCCAAAAAATTCCAACAAAAAGATAATCTAGGACTTTCCTTTGACTACTGACATTCCACATAAGTAAATGTAGCTAACCCCTCTCTTTTGTTCCTTTCCTTCCCACTTCCAAAGCAGATCTATAATTAAATGAACCATCTGAAAATCCCTTTTAATATTCAGGACAAATGAACTCCAAAAACTAGGTTAGGCAGTGCTGAGAGAAAAAAAAAATTTCCTTCTCCATGAAATGAGATTTAGCTCAATTTGACCCTGTTGTTACATCTCTATGATGGCGACAACTTTGTGTACTTTTCAGAGGTTCAGTTCAGTACTCTTATTTATCAATGAGGGAAATGTTGCTATATCTCAAATATTCTTAATACTCAGGCTATATCTAACACACTATTCTATTACTAAAAAGGCTAGTTACAACATTACATTTTTCATAGTAGGCAAAAATAAGGAATAACTTCCATGTGTATGTCAAGAAAATTTTCACGAGAAAGTATAAATAGAACAAAAGCTTGGTGAAAATAAAATCCTAAAAATCACTTTTGTAAGTGATACAGAATAAACACATTCCACCTTTCTACAACGTTTATCAGTTTCTTTAAACATTCTGAATCATAAATTAATTATTGTGTCAAGTTTCTGCAGCAAAATTCTACAATTTTTCCACGAGCAAACCATTTGTCAGTGTTTCCAAACCTTTGTAGATACAAAAATTCCACATATAAACTAACGTCTAATGAAACTTTTCAAAGGTTAACTGAAATCACCAAAAATACAAAACTAGAAATGTGATAAGCTGTTGAACTACTTTGATACTTCCTTTTTCTATTTTTTTAAACAACGTTACTAATAACAGCTAGCATTTTATTTAGCATTTTTTTTAATGTGCAGTCTCATGACAACCATGGGAAATAGAAATTATGCCCATTTTTCACACATACAAAAAATTGAAGCTCAGGGTATCTATGTTTATAGTACAATTCTGGAGCTGGCAATCCAAGTCCTATGCTTTATTTATTTATTTATTTAAAATTTTAATTTTATTAATTAAATTAATAATCCAAGGATTCCATTGATTTTTATAGAGTGGGGGGGGGAGATCGAGACAAATATAGATGTGAGAAAGACCCATCAATTGGTTGCCTCCCACACACACACCATGACCAGGCAAGGGATGGAACCTGCAACCCAGGTACATACCCTTCACCATGAATCGAACCTGAGACCCTAGGATGCGAGGGCCAACACTCTAACCACACTAGCCAGGGCAATATTTTTATTGATTTTAGAGAGAAGAATAGAGAGAAACACTGATGGGCTGCCCCCCACATGCCTCCTGCTGGGAATCAAGCCCAAAACCTGGGCATGTGCCCTGACCAGGAATCGAACCAGTGACCTCTTGGTTCATGGGTCGACGCTCAACCACTGAGCCACACCGACTGGGCAAATCCTAAGCTTTAAACCATCACATTATACCATTTTTCAAAAGCATAATCTTTTCAAATACTAGTTTCATAAAACAAAAAGCAAACTCCTAAGTGGTTATATATTTGTAGATAAAGACCTGCTACTTACCTAATTCATCTGAACACTTATAAAACTGTTAGTCCGACAGAGACTGGCAGCATTAATATTTAGTTATACTACTAATTAACCTTCAACTATTTATATAGCACCTAAGAACTTCCTTTTCTTTCTATTCTACTTGTGCAAACTAGGAACTCATAAGACTGTGTATGTGATCCATCATTAGGAGTGTGCTGAGGCTGAGAATGAAGGAAGATCCACAACATGAAAAAAGAGGCGTAGCCTGTACACACAGTATTATCTTCCCATACCCCAGTTTTTACAAAGTGAATAGGAAAAAAGCTTTCAAAATTACCTACTGCGAGGTCCCACTGTCACAGGGTGACCCAAATATAAACTTTTGTCTCTTAGACGAGCATCTGTCCCTTCCTTTCTATTACCATTACCACCTCCTTAGCCTAGTCTTCCTGACTCCAGACCCCACCAACCCTAGTAAATACTGCAGACCTCAATATTATCAAATAAATCTTCATAAATTACCATCTGATTTTGTCAGCCAACAGGACTTAAGGTTATCTCAAAATGAGAAGGCTGGCCCTGATGGGTGTGGCTCAGCAGCTGAGTGTCGACCTGGGATCCAGGCAATCGGGGTTCGATTCCCGGTCAGGGCACATGCCCGGGGTTGTGGGCTCGATCAATGACTCTCTCATCATTGATGTTTCTATCTCTCTCTCACCCTCTCCTGTCCTCTCTCTGAAATCAATAAAGATATATTTTAAAAATAAATAAGAAGGCTGGTCTCTTAATTATTCCAAGCTTTCTCCTATTACCAGGCCCACACAAAACCTCTCCAGACTAATCTAAACTCCACCTAATCTCTTCACTGTGCTTCCACCATCTCAAGTCCATTCCTGCCTCTGCCCCTTGGTCCATTCTGAATCCCAGTCTTAAATAGCTTCCCTTTTTCTCTCTGTCTTCATAATTATTCTGCATACCCCTCATTCAGCCCTAGACTGCTTTGAGGTATTGCTTAAATCTTTATGTGGGTAAGGACTTGCTTCCCAGAGGGCAGGGAAGATGGGTTACGCTGCAAAAAGTCAAGCCTCAGATCAGAGGTTGCAGAGTGGTAACCCACAAGACAAATTCAGCCCACAGTGGTGATTTGTTTGGCCCACAGTGTTTATATTATGAATTCATAAGTTGCCAACACTTAAAAATAAAGATTTCTCATAGAATCTGGATTTCCAGCTTCTCTTTAGAAAAAAGTTAAGATGTTCAGACCATACTTGGTCTACACTCCCCACTAGATCAATAGTGAACCAACACTGAATTATACATTTTTAAATGGTTAAAATAGTAAATTTTACCTCAATTTAAAAACAAAGAACTGAAGCAACGTGGTCAAAGTCATACTGCTAATACATGGTAGAGCCAAAATTCAAAACCAGACAATCTAACTCCAGTACACGGTTCACCCCTACAATATGATTCCTTCACACCAGCATCCTTTCTTCTGTGACCAAGTAAACTGATTCTCTGAAACAAAGGATCAAAGGACTAAATTTTAGAGTCTACTCTTTCTTTGCAAAAATAACTAAGAAGCAAACCAAAGTTCACCTAAATTTCTGGATCTTTTTCCTTATCTCAAAAGAAAAAAATGTCCTGTAATTGACAGAGAAAAAGCTGCAGAACCCAATAAAATGTATCTTCTCAGAAAGCAAGTACGTTATTAGACATTTCTGGAATGAGGTAAGCTCCATGCAGATGAATTCTTAGCTTCAAACTTTAAACAATACAAAACTTCGCTTTTGTGGGGTAGGGAGTCTATCGGGGTAATCAGTTTGCAGACATGAAAAAAAATTGCAAGTTTCTTGAGGGCAGGGTCTCCTTTTTCATCATGATTCCCTGTAATGCCTAGCACAGAACAGCATTTAACATATATTTAATTATGTTTGAACCAAGAAATCCAAAGTTAGTATCTTAAGTTGCAATCCAATGCATTCCTTATTATATCACCTTGCTTTTTACAATGATTACTTGTGGCCAAGTTTGTTTCCCTGACAAGAACACAAAATCCTTGAGGCAAGGGTTTTAAATTAAGTACCCCTTAGGACCTAACACAACAGGAGCTCAATAAATGCTTGCTGAATACTACAAACTTAATATTTCTATACTTAGGTTTCCTATAAGTCTCTTCCTACTGTTTAAAGTAGAACTTAAAATGGCTTCTCAATTATAAAGCACTGGATATTATGAAATGCTATTATAAGGTATTTCTGAAACCAGTCCTATATTGTGGTATAAACAAAGCCATGAAAAATTAGTAAGCCGGTGAATGAAGTACTAAGTATAATCAAAGAGTGAGCTAGAAGGAATCTGAGAGATCATGTTCAATACTTTCAATACACAAGTGAGGAAGCAGAGACCCAGAGAGAGTTAAGTGAACTGCCCAAGTTCACAGAATTTAAGTAACAAGCAACCCAAGGCTAGAACCCAGTTCTTCTGAATGTTGGCCCAGTTTTCTTTCCACAAAGAACTACTTTGTGAATTCAGGATAAAGTAGATACTTTTAGAAATATTCTAAAGAAATTTGGTATGGACGATCTTTCCCAGAACATAAGTTTTTGTAAGGTATTACATCACCATTAAGTAAATGAAAGCTGCCTTGTTCCTTTACTGCAGATAACACCACTCTCCCCCCCCTTTTTTCTCTATACATGTATTTTTCATTTTCATGTCTTTTCTTTCATTGTCAGATTCTAAGAATTCTTCCTCTTACCATCTCTTCTTTTTTAAAAAATATCTTTATTGATTTCAGAGAGAGGAGGGGAGAGGGAGAGAGATAGAAACATCAATGATGACAGAGTCATTGATTGGATGCCTCCTGCACACTCCTTACTGGGGATCGAGCCTGCAACCAGGGCATGTGCCCTGACCGGAATCTCCTGGATCATGGGTCGATGCTCAACCACTGAGCCACACCGGCCGGGCTCACCATCTCTTCTTTATCTACTTTTCCTATTACTCATTCCTTTTCCTAGTATCTCTCATAAAGCATCCCACCATCTCCTTCTTTTCTCTCCATAATTATAAAAAAGGACATATTAAGTACATATTTGATCCTGAAACACCATAATAAGCAAATCACAGCCTTGATTTCTAAGAATTTATAGAGCGCCCGGCCAGCCGTGACTCAGTGGTTGAGTGTCGACCTAGGATCCAGGTGATCGGGGTTCGATTCCCAGTCAGGGCACATGCCCGGGTTGCAGGCTCAATCCCCAGTTGGGGGCATGCAGGAGGCGGCCGATCAGTGACTCTCTCATCATTGATGTTTCAACTCTCTCCCCCCCTCTCCTTTCCTCTCTCTGAAATCAATAAAGATATACTTAAAAAAAGGGGAAAAAAAGAATTTACAGAGCAATTAGTTAACAAAGAAAATAAACACAAAGGGTCACACAGATGAGTAATACGGATGGAACATTTATGGAAGGAAAGTGGTAATGACAATGACAACGAATAGCAGCAAGGCAAAGGTCGGGCAAACATAAGGGGCCTCTCCCTGTTCAGCCAGCTCACCTACCGACTCACCTGCTCTGCTTACTCCCCCCCATTCTCTTACTGCTCTGTCTTTTCTATGTTCTACTTTTTTATAAATCCAGTAGCCTTCCTTTTCTCCCCCAATCTTTTAAAGTGAATCTGTCCTATTCTCATGTTTTCTTTTTCAATATTATTGCCAACTTCTTCCACCTTGTAGATCTAGATAATGTCTTAAGTTATAAACTCATTTTTTTCTAAAGATTTAATATGTATTATTTTATTTGATCCTGAGAACCCCAGGGAGGCAGGTGAGAAGTAAAAAAACATCTTTTTTACAGATACGAACTGTGTCCCAGCAAGATTAAATAATCTGTAAAAAGTCAGTTTGTCAGTGGAAAAACCAAGTAAGAACCCAAACCTTTTCTCTCCAAGTCCTCCACTCTTTTTCCACTGCATAATGTTGCCTTCTTTTTAATTCCTACACTTTTTTACCATGCACATGCACATGCCTAGACAAGTATACAGAGATAAACTTTTAAAAGACAGCACACCACGGCCAGTGTGTCTCAGTGGTTGAGCGTGGGACCCATGAATCAAGAGGTCACTTCCAGGTCAGGGCGCATGCCTGAGTTGCAGCTTGATCCCCAGTAGGGAGCGTGCAGGAGGCAGCCGATCAATGGTGTTTCTCTCTCATCCATGTTTCTCTCTCTCCTTCTCCCGTCCTCTCTTTCTAAAAAAACAAACAAAACAGCACAAATGGGAAAAGTGTGTGTATATCTAAGGAAGCTAAAGAAACAGAAAAGTCAGAGGATATTAAGAGCACAGTATGGCTCATGTGCTAACTCTCATAAAGAAGCTTTGGGTTTCCAGATCTAGGTGGAAACTGCCTATTTCTTCAACCAACTGATATAGGCAGCACCAACAGTGCTCTCTCCATACCTCCCACAGCAGTTACATGACCAAGGCTCACCCTCTGCACCATTCCTATGCCACAACGTCTCTCACAGGCATGCCACCATACCTGAAGTTCTCACCGTTCAAGTCAGGAGTCACTTCTTTGGGTTAAGGCGTTGTCTCCAGAAGGCCACTGTTAAATGCATGTTACCTGAGAGGGAAAGAAGGGTCCATTAACACATTGCTTCTATGGTTAAATGTGTCAAATTAGCGATGACCTTGGTAATCTAACAGCACAACATCTTTTAAGTTTCACTGCATATGTAGTTTTTGATGGGGAAGGCAGGATAAGAAGGTAGCTGAAAATGACTCATACATAGTATGGGGTAATGCCCACCTAAGTAGGACGGCCACATGGCAAAATGAGAACAGCCATGTAAACACATACTCTACCGATTGGAGTCACCATAAGGACAGTCCTTGCAATTTGGAAGCTCCTAGGGATAGGAAAAGAAAACACTCCAAGGATCTGACAATAGCCAGTTCTGGAAAAAAGCAAAAGAGTTGAGCTGGCAGCTGTTTTCCAAGGAAAGTGCACTGCTAGACTGAAGAAAGGCAGGCAGGAATAGCTTCTGGTTAACTACGTACTTCTAGTTGTGGGACTAGTTTCCAACATTTTCAGCTGAGGGCCAACCTCCCAACCAGAGAATGCTGCAGTTCAATTCAGCAAACACCCCCCACCCTTGCTAACTTATATTGACTCAAAGCCAGTATCATTTACAGCCACAAAAATCAACATGCCTTTACTGAGCACTTATTATGAGCCCAGAATCTGGCTAGGTGCTATAAATACAGAAAAAAAAATAACCTTACACACTTTCTCCTTAACTCATACAAAGGAAACCAATACCCAAAACCCAAAACTGAAAGAGAGATGAGAAGCAAGAAAGGAAGTAACAACAAAAAAAACAGGTACTATTTCTTATCAGTGCCAGCACAAACTTCTTAGGCCAGAATGAAAACAACAAAACTTACTTCTAGGACAAAGTTCCTTGTTAAACTCTTGCTTAAATAGTCAAGAGGCACAGACTAGAAAAGCCTTTTTCCCTTTGGTGTAACACCCACAGCTCTTTAGCATTTAATAGTACACACCTACCTTGGTACATTCTGGAGAACTAAGAGATACAAACGTGGCTCTAGTTCTTGCTGATTCTTAACTAGGTTTAGGTAAATAATTTAACTTGCTTCGGACTTTCTTAAAAACAAACATACAGAAAACAAGGAAGAACTAGTCTAAGGATAGCACACACTTAGCACATACACCTCCTGCTGGAGAAGTATGTCCATAGGCGGCATCGCCAAGCAACCACAACTCCCCTTCCCACAGAACCCATATAACCAAAATCCTTCTCAACACATTGCTTCTAGAAGCTACTTCAAAGTAGAACTGGCCCATAAGCCAAAATATATTTGCCACTGTGGACTAGATAATCTCTGCACTCTCTTCCAACTCTAAAATTCTAACACCAAGTTTCTGAGGGTGGAAGAAAAACACTTCCAACAGGCTTAGATCAATAATGCTGACAGTTAAAAATTTCAGTATAATCTCCCAAGTTCTCCTCCAAATTGAACCCGATCTGGTTCTTTCTAATTTTTGAAAGATGCTAATGAACAATCACTCTGATCCATTAACATATATAGCCTGGCAATATTATTCAGATTTGTCCATGGGTTCTTTTGACAGAAAAGGAGCCCTTTACCCAGACTGGCTCTAAAAAAATTCTCATCCAAAATTATGTCAACAATGGTGCACTAGTAAAGAATTAAACCCAATCCCAATCCCCACAGCCTCTCTCCAAGGTCAAGCCTTTTCACCTCTCACCCAGACCTCTGCAATAGCTGTTCTTCCACTTAACTGGAGCAATCTTCCTAAAACCACATGTATTCATATCACTTACCTGTTTAAAAATAGGTTTTTATTGCTAACAACATAAGTTTTTTAGCATAATACTTAGAACTTTCCATATAATTGCTTCCTTTTACCTTTCTGGCCTCACATCCCATAATGCTCTCGGTCCCCTTCCCACTCCCTATTCCCTGAACCCTTTTTCTTCCACAAGCCTCTGCATTTACACACAGCATGAAGGTGTCTCCTCTGCCTATGCTGTCACACTCCCACTCATCATCTAAGACCCAAATTAGGTGCATGGGCAGGTCCTCTCTCCTCCTCTGGCCATCCTCAGACAAAACTGGTCACTTCCTCTTCTAGCTCAAGGCTTTTTTTGTGAGCTGTCGTTGATGGGTCCACAGAATTGTTTGCCTCGGTGGTTCTCCGAACTATCGGAATTGCCTGAGGCATGTTTTAAAAACAAATTCTTCAGGTCCAACCCAGAGGTAATAAATCAATCTCAGGAGGTGAGACCCTGGAATTAATTTCTGATTTTAAAAAGTTCCCCTAATTACTCTAACGGTCAAATTTGGGGACTACTTGTTTGTCCGTCTCTTCCAATAGGTGTGATGATGGGTTTGTTGGTTTTTTTTAAAAAAAATAATGTAGAAATGAAATACACTAGAATACACCACAGAAGTATTCTGCACTTGCTTTTTATTTCACATCATACTCCTGTTGACTGGACTCATGCTGAAGATGAAGGAATTCCTTTTGGACTCAACACACCCAAAACCTACATTCATCGTTCAAAAAACAGCTGAATGTCCACCTTCGTCTCTAAATCTTAAACATGAAGAAACTGTGGCTTGAGTAAACCATGAGCGCATGGTGCAGGCTCTCAGCAGCCCTGCCTCAGAGCCTCACTGCAGCTGGGTAGCAGCCCGGAGCCGGTTCTGAGGGTGGAAATAAATACACTCTGCCGCACACACTCCCTAGGGCGACTGCACTCGGGACAGACGCCTGAGACCCCGCCTAAGCGCAACGAGAGGTGGCTGACTCCAGTGCCTCCGTAATTTTCGAAGGCAAATCCCACTCTTCCCCACCCCTCGCTCCCCTAAAACGTAAACTGAAGCTGTAGGATGACGGCAGTAACTGCCACAAGATTAAGATACAACATAACCAAGGAGACAAGCTGAGTTGTTACTGGGGAATCATGAATTTCGGGTAGCTTTTGCAAGTTCCCCTGATTCCATCTCTAATTTCAGACTCAACCTCGGGATACAGACCCTGTGTTTTTATCTAAACCTTGAGTTCCTCACGAAGTCTTGTCCTCATCATGTTTCGACCCTCACAGGTTCACGGCTCCTTTTTTCTTCCCTTTAGTCAAGAGAAGGGCACTCTCAGGAGGGAGGACAGTGACAGTTCCACGTCTGCAAAACTTGGCGCTGGCGGGGCCGCGGTAGAAGCGGGCACCAAGGAGGGCGCCCGGGCCGGGAC